TATATATATATATATATATATATATATATATATATATATATATATATATGGGAAATATGTAACTAAGGTGACACCTTAGGTTGCACCTAAGGATGCGCGATCTGGACCGTCCATTCAACATTACTCAAATAAATCTCAGCCCTATTTCAAAAACTACCCCACAATTAATTCCCTACCCCTGCCCTCCGTCCAAAACAACTCCCCCAAATCACGATTCACACACCTGATCTCAAATAAATCTCCTCCGCCTCTCCTCCTCCTCTCAAGTTCAATACACACTGAATACAATCATGCTGCAAAAGGGGCAACTGCTTGAAAACTTAAACAAATAAATTCAGGATCAAGGTCTCAGATTTCTCTACTTCCAATTCTCAATCTTAACAGAATTTATATCGCCATGTCATGATAATTAAAATGGAAACAGAAGAATTAATAGATCCAGATCAAAACAACATTAATTTCACCCAAAAAAAGGCAATAAATTCAAATCATCAGCTATCATATTAAACAGAATACTAACACAAACAGTGCAAATACATCAAACGTACCTCTACTCAAAACCATAAAAGCACACAAGTCAACTTCGTGTGGGGTGGGTGGGGGCTTACAGAGAACTCAAGCTCCCTTTTCGCGCCGCGTATCGATAGCGGTTAGCGTTTCGAAAGTAGCTGAGGGCGAGGTGAGCGAACCTATAAAGCAGTAGGCTCATCACGAGGACACCGTCGGCGATTTGAGCCTGGGGCGTCCAGCGGTGTAGAATCAGCATTTGCTCCCTCCGCCTGCGGAGTAGGTCCGCCTCCCTCCGCCTCGGACGGGGCCTCCGCCGCCTCATCCCCAGCCGGCCGCGATCCTGGGCCCACCGTGTCGGGCGGCTGCGGCGACGGCGGATGCCGCTTTGGGACTGCGAGCTTCCCTTCGCCATCGCCGATCTTTGATTGAGTAGTGAAGGAGAAGTAAATTGGGGATCTTGCTGCTGTATACTATAGGGTTCTTGTGTTGACTCTGGCCGGCCTGTGGACTTCTGGAGCTGCGGTCTGGTGATCCGGCGGAGCAGATTAGTAGGGACACGTGGCCGTGTTTGGTGCTGTAGAGAGGCAGAGTGAGGAGCTCGTAGACTCGTAACGGTGACTCAATAAGGACTGAGGAGATTAAAGGAGTGGAAATAGTTAATTAATAAGTATATTTTTAACACGTTCGATACCATTAATTTTCAGTCCTATTTCATTTTGATACCCCAAATTTTCCGTTTAAATCCGGTTTAACAACACATTGATACCTAACATATCTGTTAACTTTTATGTTGTTTGTATATAGATCCCTTGTTTGATCAGATTTTTATTTTATCCATCTATTGATGCACAGACATCCATTTCTCTTCCTTCAGTTATATTATGGCGTATTGGTGTGACATATTTGTTGTAAAAAATTCAACATATAAACGCAATTCCTCTTCACATTTTACCAAGTTAAAATTAATGTAATGCAAAAGATTGAGTTGGATCATAACGGCAACTTTGTTCGCCTCTATCAAGTTTTAACCAGGATCATAATTTGTTGTTGTCGACATTAAAGATGAAAATGGAATCTACACTAAAGAACTACTAGGATGGGACCTACATTCTTATAAAGAAAAGGAGAAAAAGAAGAATAATAATAATAATAATAAAGGCCGGAGACCAATAATTAAGACAAGTGAGGAATGCATTCAAAGTGAAAAGCTACATCTGGAAGAGTAATGTGCAAGTTTGCATGAATGATGAATGTGTACATATATCATTCAACACCCAGCGAAAAATAAACTTGAAACCTGAGGTTATAAGAGTGAGAAATACTAGCGGGGGGTTGGTTACAAGCACCGTTGCTTCAGGAGTCCGGCAGAGCAAGGGCCCAAACGGCCCAGGAGATTTTCCGGCACTTTGTTCGGGAAGGGTGGGTCCCACATGGACCCGCTGCAGCTCTGTCATTCTTCCGCCGGTTCCAAGAATGAGGGGTGCATAGGATATGTGGGACCCGCCCTCCAGAAAGTTACCGGGAGATCTGCCGAGCTTGAGGGTCGACGTTAATCTCTTGTTCCGCCGGCTTCCTAAAAGCAACGTCTCGTGACACGGACCGTGTTCCTAGGCTGCGCTTTTAAACTGTTCCAAGAGTCAAAAAAAAAATTCACTCGGGGAGTATATAGACTCGGACGATAGTACAGAGCTTTATGTGCACCGGTAGAACTATAGGAGTCTATTTGCAATTAACATCTTCTTGTGCATCTTTCTTTCATTTATGTTTTGCTTGTGAAAGAAAAGTCTTAGATGTCGATGATTATGAACAACAATAAACGTGTTTAATGAATCTGTTTGAGGTTTTTTTTTCTACTTTTTATGCATCTCCAATAATATCCTTTTGTGTGTGTGTGTGTGGAATGCTTCGGTCAAGGCATGACTGTATCATGAATCAGTTCCAGTTAAAACAAGATCGGCATCAATTGTTATCGTAGGATGAACTCATTAGCATTTGTAATCAACAAATTTAAGACTCTTTCTCCTTTGTAATGCCATAAATCTTTTCTGTTCATGGTAACACAGACATTTGGAGATTTGTTGCACAGCCATTAGCCAGAATATATTGAAGAATACGCTTCTTTTGTGGAACTAAAGAATAGAGTACTTCTGTTGATGGTAACATGATGAAGACAATGATACTGATGAAAAAGGAAAAAAAAAAATAGCTCGTGGTGAATAATTTTTGTATCAAGATTTATCCTGATTCACTATAAAATATATAGTTAGCTTTTTCATTACAAGAGAAATCTAAACGAAGACTTTATGTTCCAGTTTTTTCATTACAGCTTTAAAGATCATACATTAAATCCCTAATTGCATTCATATTCAGATAGAATTACTAGATAATGTTTTGTTCTTCATGTCTTCTATTATTTTCAACTAGTGTGTGTGTGCGCGGGTGCGCGCAAATTAGGAACATAGTATTACAGCCACACCTCTTGAATCAAACACCAAAGCAAATTTAAAATATCTCTAGATCTAAGACCTGCATATGGAAAAGCTTGTGCAACAACACGAACATAGTTATTTCATACATGTTCAACTAACCATCAACATTCAAAAAAAAAAAATCTTAGAATTATATATAAACATTTTTACAGCATAACAAGTTAATTCTTTTTCTACGTAAATATAGCGGTACTTTGAGAGAGCACCCTAAAGAATGTGTTAAATTTACAAGCAAATATTGAGACACGAATCACTCAACAGAGCAGCAGATTTCTTTCTCTTCAGTTTTGACAAACAATTCTTTGATTGCCATCTCAGAATTAATCTCAAAACCCCAACTGAAGAAGGTGAATTAATCACAAAACCCTAACTGAGGAAGGTATGCCGTGCTTTTGAAACCACTCGGGCATGTGAAACCTTTCATATAACACAGGCCTCACATCCTTCTGAAGGGACAGATGCTTTAGAAGTGGAAGAAGAACCCCCATAAGCTGCAAGATTTGAGAAACACTGAGATTGAGCATTTTTTTTTAAAGCTGATTTTTTCATTGATATTGGAAAATCAATATCGGGTTTACCTGCCCATCATAAGGCTGACCAGCAGAGAATGGGATGCACGGTATTCCATTAAGAGGTTGCAGCAAGAAACTAAAGGGATTGTTGTCGACAATAACAATTCGACATAGATCTTTTGATATGCACGATAGATCCTTCACGTGTTCCCTGTATTCCCTGATTCATGAAATGTAACTCTTATCAGATGATGTTTAAGGTGCACAAATATTAGTGCAATCAATATAGGAGCGGTCTGTAGATAGCATTATAGCAAGGTCTGTAATTGGACTCTACTATAAGAAGTACGACAAATAAAATGCTAGTGCGCGCTTCCACATGCTTCTTGACATTCACAAAAGAAACATTCTCCTCTTTCACGCATAAGTAGAAGGTTTGCAGATCTTATGATTTTGATACATAGAACAATCTTTGGACTCAAACATAAGAGGTTCAGCCTATGAAACATATATACTGACATGCGATTCAGGAAAAAGCAAGAACATGATATGAGACAGGGCAATCCCTCCAAAAGAAAAAGGAGGCACAATGATATCATGCTAGAATCATATAATATTAAAGAGAGATTTCATACTTAAGACCAATACACAAACATGTTGATGAACCAAGGTGTCGAAAACTATATCTAATAATGTAAAACATAAAATGTTCACATATATGCTAAATATTGATATATCACATATATTTATGATTGTGCAAGTGGAATAGACTTTGGCTTCTCAATTTTCTACAACATGGCATATCCTCCAATTACTTCTATTTATATAGCTATTTGTGTGTGTGTGTGTGTGTGTGTGGGGGGGGGGGGGGGGGGCCAAATTATTGTCTTAAGTAAATAAATATCACAAACATGTAATTGTGAATTAAAAAAGTTAGGACATGTTTAGGAAGTATTCAGAAAGTGTCCAAATTAAAATGTTTTAAAAGTACATATATGTTTGAGAAGTACCCAACACGTATTCGAGGAGTGATCAAAAAATTATCAATACCCAAGGTGTAGGCTTGTCCAACATAAGTACAATCTCATAATAGAGGAAATCGTACTAAATGGAATGCAACAAATAAAGTGTAGGTTTAAGCGCATCTCTTGTCAATCACGAAAGAACTAGTCTCTTCTTTCAAATAAATATGTTCCTCTTCCTCAAGAAGCCTTTTTAAGTTCTCTCTCTTTTATTATTTGTAGGCTTGTAACTTTATGCTTTAGTATATGGAACAGATTTTGATATAAAGCTACCCACCAATGTCTTTTGATGTTAAGATTACCGGTGTACCACTTAAGAAACCTCATCTTTTAAGCTGATTTTGTAATTAAGACTACAACTAAATAATAATTTTTACTTAGTTGTAGACACCAACACTGGTAAAGATTCTAGCATGGTTGGTTGCAGATTAGTAGCTCGGCACAAATATCATTTCATGATGTCACCTAGTTGCTAATTGCTCTATTTCATAAAATTAGTTCATGTAATGAGAATCTGCAGATTCTACTGGTATCTATACATGGCTTGGTTTGCGTATCTACTGTCCAGCTCATAAAAAGTGATCCCCAAATTTGCAGTAAATATCTGTGCCTCTTCACCGTTGAAATACATGCAGAAAGGATATCTAATTAGCTGAATGAATGTAACATAATACATAAAGTCTTTAGAAATAACTTTCATGAGATCTCTATAGCCTAGCCCATCAATTTAAAAACCTCTGCAAAATGATATAGTTACAGCTAAAATTTGCCAACGACCAAATAAAAAAAAATACTGAACAACGCTGCTGAGAGAGTTTTTCAAAGATTCACATAATACTTACGCCAAAATATTGGCTGTAAGATCACAAGAATATTTAAAAAGGAAAAATGAATTACATCAGAATGAAGCCTCTTCCACGAAATATTGTCAAATAAAGGGGATGACTGAAAAAGGACAATGAACAGACCAAGACATGAACAGCTATGAAAAAGGACAAAATGTACGACTATATATATTTTTGTCTAAATATCAAAATATATGTATATTTTAGTTTATATTGAAAGATAAACAACAATCTTCATTTATACATAAAATTTGAGGTAAAAGACAACTGAGAGTCAAAAATGTCAATAGTTTACAGGAGATGTATCCTACATATCATGATCATCACAGCACTTGTGAGCCTTACCAAAAAAATATGTTAAAACAGCCTTATAAAAAACATAAATAATACATGCTCAAGTTTCCCAAAAAGTTTGGAAGAGAACTATCAAGAACGCACAAACTCATATCGTTACCACATACAATTAAAATTGAGATAACGAGAATAGAGAATCTTGTTTTTGCAGTGGAGATAATTAAGCTGAACTCCATGTGTTGTATTCCTTCAATGTTGTTATAGTCTTATAGATGCAAAACTACTAATGCAATGCATAGATGTACTTAGTACATAAATTGTACAGTATGCTAACTTGCATACACTATTGTCAGGGATGATATGATATAGAAATGATATGCAAGAAGCGCATTTACCGTCATAAATAAATCAAGCTGCATATTTAAACTTTTTTTGGTTATATAACTGAAAATATAGCTAGCAGTGCAAAAGAAACTGCAAATACTCAAATGTACAAACTAATAGCTTACGTGCTAACTGTTGCTGGGCGATAGAGACGATGACTGAATCTATTCCCAACATCTATTTTATCAACAAGAGGCCTAGCATAACCTGAAACAGAACCCAGGAACATGAAAAACTGGATACATGTTTACGAACTAAGGAGAGACTACAAAACAAAAAAGAAGAGTCAGAGGTATCAGACCTTCTAGGCCAGCAGTGAAGAGAACAAGATCAGCAAATTCACTAGTTTGATGTAAGAATTCATGCAATCCAGGACGTTCAAACACAGTAACATGATTCACCTTTTGTTTACCTTCGACATCCTTTCGTAAAGAAATGTGAATCGGGGTTTCAATTGGTTCAAAATATGCTACAAATCGAAACGCGAAAGAGATGTACCTTGTCCACAGATAAGCATTCAAGCTCAAAGCACTTGAGTCCTGCTTCAATTGCCTGATTGCGGACTATAGCAGGCAGACTAGAAGACTCATATGCACATACTAAAGTCTCATCCAAGTCCAGAACCACCTGCGATAAAGTTATAATTTGGATTAAACTTGAGGAAATACTTATTAAACGCTCATATTAGTATAGGTGACGACAATATCACTGATTAGTCGGAATAAGCTAAAGGAAAGAAAACCAAAATATGACTTTTTGCACGTCTCAGGTCACAAACATGAGTATCCCATCCACCACCCCCACAAAAAAAGAAAAAGAAAAAGAAAAAAGCCCCCAATTAGTTTGAATAAGATTGCATTTACATAAGCTGATAATTTTGTTTAAACTTTGACAAGGCTATCCCTTAAGTTGTTATTTCTTAGAGCAACTCCAACCATTGGCTCCATTTTGGAGTCCCCACTAAAGCATATTCTAAGGAATATGCCAAAATAGAGCTTTGCAACTCCAATCACACTCCTCCATTTCCAACTCCATTTCAATTTCTCTCCATTTAACAATTCTTTTACTTAATTTAAAAATATATAAAAATTATAAACTAATAATTAAATAGACATAAGTGGATATCTAAAAGTAGTTAGTTAGTTTGAAGGGTAAATTAGGAATTTTTTGGGTGAATATTGATATATATATACAGATTTTATATTTTAATATTAGTCTCATTTTGAAGGTATCGACGAGACATTTCCAATGATATTATTTTTATTAAAAATATTTAATATATTAATATATATATACACATATTTTAAATAAGTAAAAAATAATAATGGGACACAAGTAGAATGGGCTGCCAACTTCCATGGCCACGTCAGCCTTGAGAGTCTCCTTCAGAGCTTGCTGCCCTTGCTCTTAGGAGCTCCCAAGCATTAAAAATTTTTTTTTACAAAACCCCCTTACTTTTAAACCCTAGCCTTAAAAAAATATTTTTTTTTTACGAAAAAGTCTTTGGCCTTTGTATCTTTGCAAAAGAAGTGAGGTTTTTTTGATAGAAGAGGGGTTTTTTTGATATTGATAGAGCTCCTAACTAGGAGCTTGTTGGAGCTCCATAAAATAAGGAGTTGCTCCCAAGGCTTATTTTTATAATTTTTTATTTCAAAATGCTTGAGAGTTCTTGAGAGCTTGCTGACTAGGATTCCCAACTGGGAGCTTGATGCACTTGCTCTAAGAGCATCTCCAAGGGGCCGGAAAAATCCGGCCCCTTAGCTAGATTAAGGGAGAATGAAGGGGAAGGTGCTCCAAGGGGCCGGAAAACTTTCCCCTTCACCCCAAACCCCTTAACTCCCTCCCCAAATTAAGGGGAAGGTTAAAGTCCCTTAACCTTCCCCTTATAATTTTATATTAATATTTTCTTTTTAAATGAAGTTAATGTATAGTTAATTAAATTTAGTTAATATATAGTTAATGTATAATTAATACTTTTAACATGATTTATATAAATTAATTATTATATAAATTAATTATTTATTAAAATTTAATATGATTAATTAATTTAATAATTATATAAGATAATTTCTTACTTTAAATTAATTATTTATTTAATTTTAGTTATTAATATTTAATTATTTATTCATTTATAAATAAACCATATATTTAATTAACTCTTAATCTATAAAATTAAAACACTAAATATGAATAATTAAGGGGTAAGAGGACTTTTAAGAAGGAACCATTGGAGGAGAACATCCCCCTCCCTTAAAACTCCCCCTAGATTAAGGGACATTGTAAGGATCCCTTGGAGATGCTCTTAGGCCTTGAGCTTAGTGTAACAAAATTCAAACCAAAAAACACCTACAAAATCAAACTTTTTTTTTTTTGCTTTCAATTAAGTTAGTACACCAAAAACATGATCCTTTTTAGAATTTCAGTGACAAGCTAAAAACTAGTGAATTCAATTCCGAAGCGATATCGATTACGCCCTAGAGTTACCGTGAGCTTATCGAGGGCATCAGCGGGCAGCGGGGGCCGCGGCGGGAGGCGGCGGTGGCGTCGGCCTGCGCATCGGCCGGAGAGGAGTGAAGGCGGCGGAGGAGGAGGAGAGGAGGTGGTGGCGGATCCGACGAAGGAGAGGAGCTGAGTCAACGACGACGGGGTCAACCTCAGGATCTGGATCAGAACACCTAGAAACCCCAGCACCGCCCTCCAAGCTCGGCCGTCCGTGTTCTTCCGCGGGGCGGGAACGAGTCGGCGGCCGCCAGCTCAGACATCGGCGGCGGTAGGGCACGTGCGGTGGTGAGTGGTGAGGGGTGGGATTGACGAGCGAGATGATGGGAGGGGAAGGAGGGAGGACATCAATCATCGCTGTGGCTGGGACCCACTGGAGCTCGGAGTGTGATGGTTGATCGGACAGAAAATGACCGGGTCTGCGGGAACCGATCGTGACTCCTGACTTTCTATTGGTTGAGATCAATGGTGGACGCTGGACGGGGTTTATGTTTGGATGGTCAGATCGTGGTCGAAATGCAATAGGTCTTTCAGTAGGGAGGGTACTTTTGAGTTCGTCTTGGCGATGGCTCCCTGGAAAGAATCCAACCAAGCAGTGGTCTTTAAAATTTGCTGAACGGGTATTTTTTGCATACATAACCCTCAAATCAGGGTATTCGCAAATCTACCATCAATTCTCTGAATTAGCAAAATGATCCCTTAACTTATTAATAAGCCTCCAACGTTGATAGGAGTGCAATGTCAAGTTATCGGTAAAATAGTCAAATATTTACTCGTTTTGTCCAACAAAATTTATAATTAATTGATTTGCTAAACATTTTCTGAAATTGATGATGTGGAAGGTAGTTAAAATACGCAGATTTAGGCCAAATTTGCAAATACGCATGATGTAAGGGGTATATATACACCTAAGCCTACTTTTCTTTTGGAAAAAGTACTGGGCCGTGCTTCATTTCGGGCGATACTTTGGCGGAAAATTTACCCTTTTTATCCCACAGTCCTAAACAGGCCCAACCGAAACGAAGTCTAACTCCAATCCACTAACTCTATCTCCGCGAGACACCACACCCACCCCTCTCATTCCTCATCAAAACCCTAGGCCCCAAACTCCAAACCCTAGAGAGGGGGGAGAGAGACCGAAGAAGTCGCCATGGTTTTCAGGATCCGGAGTCTGCACCGCGCGTGGTGATCGACGTCCGCCACCACATGCTCGGCCGCCTGGCGTCGATCGTGGCCAAGGTAGCTCCTCAACGGCCAGCGCGTCGTCGTCGTCGGTGCGCAGGAGATCGCGCTCTCCGGCGGCCTCGTTCGCCAGAAGATGAAGTACCTGCGGTTCTTGAGGAAGAGGATGAAACCAAAGCCCTCCCACTGGCCCCATCCATTCCGGCTGCTCCAGCCAAGATCCTCTGGCGAACGGTCGCGGTAACGATTCTTGGATTCTCTCAATGTTTTTCGATCTCTTAGGGTTTTTTTTCAGGTTCTAGGGTTTGGGTTCTGTACAGGATGATCCGCACCAAGACGAAGAGGGGAGCGGCGGCGCTGGCGGGCTCAAGGCTTACGAGGAGTGCCGCCGCCGTACGACAAGGTGAAGAGGATGGTGGTCCCGGATGCGCTTAAGTGAGTCGTACTTGTTTCCGTTTTGGTAAATGTTTGTTTTTTGTATGATTTTGGGGAAATGGTGTTAAAAAAGTGATTATATTTTCTGTTATCCTTGTAGGGTTTTGAGGTTGCAGGCTGGGCATAAGTACTGCTTGCTCGGGAGGCTCTCGTCAGAGGTTGGATGGAATCACTATGAGACCATCAAGGTCAGATTAAGATTTGATGTGCATCCTTTCACTGTAAAAATTTATGCTTTGGTAATTTAATCGTAAATGCAATCACTGATTCAATTTGCAAATGTGTATGAACTGTAAACCCCAAGTTTATGATTTCCATCTTATGTATTGATGTGTTGGTTACATGGGCAACCATTGCAATGTATCTAGTCTTAGTATTATCAACTTGGAAATATTAGTGATTTGCTTGCTAATGTCAAAGTTTAAACATGGGAAAAGATGTCATTTCTCTTCACAGCCCTATTCTCTAATACATCAAATATGGACACCCACGAGATGTTTGCACATTATCGAATATGACATCCTGGTAGTTACTAACTAGCTCAAATATATTGCAGATATTTAGAGTTTTCCTGTTTGGTATCTGACATTTAGAAGACTGAAACTTGCTAAAAGCTGTCTTCAATGTTATCAAGGACATCGAAAGGGTTGGTACATCACCATATCACAAGTAAATGTTACATATAATTAATAAATATCACACAACAATTTTACAAAAAAAGTGAGATAATACACAATAATCACGAAGTTGTAGTAAACTGCAATAAATGTGACACTTAATGAAGCTTCATAAATGTTACAACACTAAACCAAGTGGCACATTTATTGCAACTTTGTGACATTTATAAACTGTATTATGTGAGGTGGAACAGAAGTGGATGTGAAGGAATAAATAGGTGGAGCGAAGGTGGAGATGAGAGAGGGAGGAAGAGGTAGATGGGACGAAGGTGGAGGTGGAGGAAATGAGGGAGGAAGATGAGAAGTAAAGTAGTATTTTAGAGTTATGCGATAGAAAAAGAAAGAGAGAAGGAGAATAGGAGGAGGAGAAGTAAATGGTATTTTTGAAGAGTTGGAGGAGGAGGAGAAAGGGAGCAAGGAAGATGAGTAGTAAAACGAGATGAGGAAAGGAGGAAGGAAGATGAGAAGTAAAATGGTATTTTAGAATTATGCAAAAGAAAGAGAAATAGATAAGGAGAGAGGAGCAGAAGTGGAGCAAAGAAGATGATGAAAGGGAAAGTTGACAAAGAAATGAGATTGGAGACAAAAAAGGATAAAAGAGGAAACAAAAAAAGAGGGGTGAGGTTGTAAAGTGATGTTACGGGGCTAACTGAACACGTTTAGCTGCAAGATGTTATGCTCAGATGGCTAAAAAGAATTCCCCCCTAAAAGAATCGATTGGGTTTTTTTATAAGGAAACAACTCTTCAGCATTATGTACATTGAACTTCAATGAGTTCTAATGTTATAGGGGAGAACACGAGGTTCTGAATTCAAATATAAATACACTATGCATTAGCCTGGTTGATTTCTTGCCCCACTATTTTTCATATAGAAAATGATATTTTAATTTTCAATATAAGAATCAATTAATTTTAATTTTTTTAATACAAATGATAATATTACAAACCTATCTTATATGAAATAGATTTTCTTCTAAAACTGGAAGCATCCATATCGTCGTTTTCTTTTTAGTTCCTTTCCTTTTCCTTTTTCATTCTTTATCTTATTCTTAGATTTCTGTTGAGTGAGCAAGCTTCTATTGGTATCTTGCATATTTTCTTAGTTGGATACTTTTGTGCAGAATTTTTAGTACTGAATCCATTAAAAATGCCATTTTATATGTGAATACATGTGTAGAAAAATCTGAAAAGATGCTTTTCTGTTTTACTTCATATACTTTATGAATACTGTTGTAGTCTTTTTGTTATTTCTCGTTTTTTTACATTGATTGGTTTTCCTACCTTTGTGATTAAAACCCTATGGTTGCTGCAAGTAAATGACTGTGCTGCTGTGTTCTCCGTAGGAGCTGGAGAACAAGAGGAAAGAGAAGGCTCAGGTGGCTTATGAAAGGAGGAAGCAGCTTGCAAAGCTCAGGCTGAAGGCTGAAAAGGTTGCTGATGAGAAGCTTGGTTCTCAGCTAGACGTCCTCGCTCCCTTGAAGTACTGAGAATGTTAATGGCTCGAGTTTTTGCTATGGAAAACAAAGAAGAACAAGTGGATATTCCTGTTATTTTACTCTCTTTTAATATCCTCGGCATTAGGTGCTTTTGTTTCGGCTTAGATCAGTCAATTAGCTCTATGTTGTTGGTTTTTGAGGTTCTAGTTTGATTTTTCTCTCGTCTCCTGTCTTTGTTACTCTTGTCTGTTTGGCAATCAAGATGAGGGATTTGAGATTGTAGTTTACTTATTACGTAAATGAGGAATGCATTTATAATTTTGAGGTGGTGAATGCAGCACTTGCGGCATAAAACTGGGCTAATTTTGTATATTCCCTCAACTCTTAAAGGCCCCGTTTGGCAAAGGGTTAATGAAGAGGGGTTAAAGAGAAGAATTAATGTACTTAGTCTATTTGATAATCCGAAAGACTAAATTATTAACCGTTAAATAAGTTTTATTTTAGCTCTTATGATTAGTTTTAGTGTTTGGGAATAACAATGATTTTGACTATTTTCTTTATAATTAGAAGGGTTAATTCTTATTCTATCTAAATAGGAGTATTAGTAAACCCCTCATTTTGAGGGGTTAACTCATTTTAACCCCTCTAGAGGGGTTAACTTAACCCTTTTATATTTTTTATGTTTGGCAAATTATGGATGGTTAACTCACTTTAACCCTTATATAGATTTGTTATGTTTGACAGGTTAAGAAGGGGTTAAGTCTCCTTAAACCCCCCACTTAACCCTTTGCCAAACGGTACCAAATGGTTCAAAATGAACTAAAAAACCAGGTCAGTCGGCCTAGTATTTTTTTTTCTCAAAACAGAAAATAGCCAAAAATTGAACCGCGCTAGACCTGACTACTTCCATGGGTTTGCCGAACAGCCCTGCGTGTCCGGTGTTGCCGTGTTGGTTAGCTGCGAAAAAACTATCGATTCGTCGGTTGCAGAAACTATATGGTCTTGTACATTTTTATCGCAGGAAAAAAACTTACTTTGGTAAAGTTGCAGCCAACTTCCTTATCTACCCCCTTCAATAGTATTTGATCGCTTCTGCTTCAATTTGCATCAAGTGTGAATTTATTTGCAGTTTATATCCATCTCAAAATAGTCTCATGCCTTATTCTCCTCGCGCCGATCAACACAATTTAAAATCATAGCCATTGTCCGGTTAATCGTCGTCGGATGTCTCCCGCTACTCCTACAGCGTGAGCACGACATATCGTTCCTCCGACATCAAAGTACTAAGTCGAGCGGAGCGCCAAAATCGCCTTCTCTCGGTTGAGGGGCAACCGTCCGTATTCCCTGCACGCGAAAGCGCAACACTATTGAGAGAGAAGAATCACAGGGCCCGCACACGCCAGAACATCCGCACCCCACTAGTACCGTTAACCCCTCAGCTCTGCCTAACTCGACTGCACAGCGAAGCCGGAGGGGGTGCTCGTTGGCAGCGTGTACTATCAAGAAAAGCCGCACAAGCACCTCGGGATTCCCGGGCCCAACACAAACATTGTACGCTTGCGCTACGGTCGAACCACGAGCGGACTGATGAAACACATCATCAGACCCCTTCTCCTCTCATCTCGCACGCTCTAGAAACTGCGAGGGACTACGCGCAACCCCCTCGACCTTCAACGCTCTTAGTCATGTCGCCCACGTAGCACCATAGTTCGAGTGGATTAGTCGATGACATCAAGAAGGCGGACGGCGGCGCAGGACGGGGCCTCACTGTCGCCCGAGGCAGTCTCATGGTGCGCTCCTGACTAGCTTGCGGGCGTCCCGAAACCACCGAAGCGCTGCCATCGGCCGCTCACGTCGTGGAATGCAACTCCGTCGCCTCTGTACGGACCCTCGCCCGCTCTTCAGTCCTCAAATCGGAATCCCATCCGAGCTCCCCCCGACCGCGCTCGGGCCCCGTCCGCCTCTGCCGTCGGCGCTCTCCTCGAGAATGCAGCTACCCATCCGCTCGCTGCTCGACACCGGAACGACGTCCAACTACTCCAACCTGCCTCTCGCTGCCCGCGCCTCCGCCGCGGGACCGACTCGCCGCACGACCGCGCCGCCTCCTGCCTGATCGAGTACCAGACTAAGAAGATGATTACCGTCGCCCCGCATCGATACTCACAAAACCTGATCCAGCCGTCTGCCCTCTCGGAGAGACCTCGGCGCGACTACTAGCGGGGCGCTCACGCTCCTCTTTCTCCGGCCTGGCGCGGAAGGGCTCAGACCGCGAACTCCATCGCTACAAACTGCTCGTCGACCGCCTCTGGACAAGGGCGCGGCCTCGTAGGGGACGCCCGACGCGTGCTCGAAGATATGCTCCGCTGCGCGGGTGGAGCGCCGCGCCGCACCATACTCCGTGTCGCATCTCGCGGCGTGCTCTGGGTCGAAGACCGGGACAGGTACGCTGGACGCGCTGAACCTGCTTCGCGAGATGAGGGCAGAGGGGGGTGGGGCTGGACGCCAGCGAGGTGTGCAACGTCACTGATGCGACGGTAACGGAAAGATGGCTAGTGGCCGAGGGAGGCGACAGGCTAGTTGCTGGACGATGAGGAGGAATCCAGGCGTGAGGGCGTGGTCCCTTATGACATGCTGCAGAAGTTTCGCGGCAG